ATGTGAGCATGTAGGTGAGACATTTAACACCCTAAAATAGGTTTTATGTTAAATGATTTAACAAACTGTGGGCTAGTGTAAGTGTTCTGAACATGGTTAAGGTAGTCCAGGCTAAGCCATGATGGGTGGTAGTACAGGTGCATTACATGCCTTTTGGCTTACATTTTCCACTTATGATTGGCTTATTAGGGTGTAGCCCACTTTAGGTTGAGAAGCATTTGTAAGTATGTTATAAAAACCTTACAATTATATATTTTTATTTCCCTACACACAGATATATCCTACTGTCACAGTACATTTTAATTAAACATGCTATAAATGCCATAATACACTTATTTTCCCTTAATCATATAATTATCTTTTCTAAGATTTACACAAGGAAAAACTCTAATACCGGCCTATATGATACCATCTGCATGGCTATTTGTGCCTTCATGTCTATTCATGCTTCTGCGCTGTGTCAGTTTTTTTCTACCTAAAAGACTTTAGTTTGCATCTCTTATAGTGCAGGTCTTCTGTTGATAACATTTTTCAGCACTAGTATGCTAAGAAAAGTCTATTCCATCTTCATCAAGATATACTTCAGCTGCACACAGAATTATAGGCAGAATTATTTTTCTTTTAGTACTGCAAAGATGATCCATTGTCCTTTTTCAATTGTTTCTGAGCAGAAATGTGCTGGAAATTCTCTTCCTATTCCACTGTTCCTACATTGTTTTCTAGCTGCTTTGAAGATTTTTCTTTTAATCACTGGTTTAAGAAACTTAATATTATGCTCCTTGGTATAATTTTCTTCATATTTCTTGTATCTGGGGTCTGTGGCCCTTTTTATTTTATTTTTTTTTCAGCTTTAATTGAGTTTATTGGTACATTTTAGGGATACAGTACAGTTACATTCATTGTTGGGATTTTGTACCTCTACATGACAAGTCTTGATTCTCATTTTTTCCCCTTACCTCTGCCCTCCCCTCATCCCCTCCTCCCCTCCCCATCTACAAACACTTTATTTTCATCTTTTCATTCTCTCACATTTTTTCTTTTCCCTTTTTACTCTTCCCCTACACATCCCACCTTCCCTACACCTTTAGCTCCTTTGTTCCCATTTCTAAATGTCAGTAATCTTATTAGAATCTTATGCATTGTTGCAGATTATTCACACCAGGGAAACTATTCGGTATTTACACATGTGGGACTTATTTATTTCACTTAGGAGTATATCTTCAATATGTATCCATTTTCCCATGAATGAATCTATTTTCTCGTTCTTTATGGCTGAGTAATATTCCATTTTATAGAAAAACCACATCTTCTTTATCCAGTTTCCAACGGATGGGCAAATGGGCTGTTTCCAAGATTTAGCTATTACAAACTGTGCCGCTATAAACATGGGTGCACATACTTCTCTGTGATATGATTCTTTTAGTTCTCTTGGAAAGATACCCAACAGAGGGATGGCTGGGTCAAATGGAACCTCCAGTCCAAGCTCTTTGAGGTATCT